TGCCATCTTCTGGCCTCTGCTGGTACCTACACTCATGTGCACACACTACCAAACAAACATGCACATATACACTCAGTTTTTAAAGATCTTTTATCTATCTATCTATCTATCTATCTATCTATCTATCTATCTATCTATGGTTTTTTTGAGACAGGGTTTCTCTGTGTAGCGCTGGCTGTCCTGGAACTCATTCTGTAGACCAGGCTGGCCTCAAGCTCACAGAGATCTGTCTGGTCCCTGCCTCCCAAGTGCTGGAATTGAAGATGTGCACCACCACTGGCCAGTATCTCTGCCAAGTTTTTTTTTCCATGTTGGCTACAATCTACATGTTGAAATAACCATTATTGCTTCACATATAAAAATTATTAGAATAGTAGAAGGCTTGAAATGTATGTAAATAAACAGAAAAGTGTAACTGCTTATTGCTATTACAAAGAGACCCATCTCTGTGCCAAGTTACCTGACTTATTCTGGCTCAGAGTTTCAGTAGGAACAGTCCCATCATGGTGGGGAAGACACGGAGGTTGCCTGATAGACTTGGATGGACCGGGAAGCAGGGTGTTCCTGCTGGCACCAGAAGTAGTTATCAGATATTGCCTTAAAAGCCCATCCCCAGTGAACCTCTCCAGCCAGCTAGTCCACAGTCCCAAAGGTTGTCCGCAGCCTCCAAGAACAGCACTGCCTGTTGGGGACCAAGTGTGAAAACACATAAACCTGTGAGACACATTTCACACAGCAACCCTATTATGTAGCAAACCACTCCAAAATGTAGCACCTGAGAACAGGTCCTGTGGTTCTGACTGTGATCTGGACCCTTCTGCTGGTTTCCCCTGGGTCACATAGGTGGCTGTATTCTGCCATTCTGAACCTTTTGCTTAAAGTATCTGGACTCTCCTCCAAATGTCCCTCTCCATGGGATGGGCTTAAACTTCCTGGCAGCATGGTAGCTTTGAGATGTGGGAGGATGGAGACAGAAGTTCTTTTTGCTCTTAGCATGCTCCAAGCTATTCCCACAACACTCTGTGCATTAAAGCAAGTCGAAAGTCAGCCAGATATGAGGAGGAGAACCATGCCATCTACAGCCAGGGGGGAGACCGGGGCAGCCTTGACAGAGAACACTGATGCTCCCTCCCTCCCTCCCTCCTTCCCTCCCTCCCTCCCTCTCTCCGTCTTTCCTTCCCTCCCTCCCTCCTTCTCTCCCTCCCTTTCTCCTCTCCCTCCCTCCCTCTCACTCCTCTCTCTCTCTCTCTCTCTCTCTCTCTCTCTCTCTCTCTCTGTAGTCAGATGTAATGGCACACGTCTGTAGAGGAGACAGATGTGGCAGTGTACACCAGATATCGCAGCACATGTGACCTGAAGTAGAAGGATTACGACTTTAAGGAACCTATAGGGAAACCCTGGCTCAAGCACAAAAAAAGAGGGGTGGGATATGATGGCGCAATACTATGTAACCTATGCGACATCTGGAGGCAGGAAGATCAGGAGTTCAGTATTATCCTGACTTCGTGAGTTCAAGGCCACCCTGTGCTACCTGAGAACTTATTTCCAAAACACTAGAAAAGGGCTGGAGAGATCATTGGTTAAGAGTATTTACTCAGCCAGAAGGTGCACACCTTTAATCCCAGCATTTGGGAGGCAGAGAGGTGGATGTCTGGGTCCAAGGCCAGCCTGGTCTACACAGCCTATTCCACTGAGTCTACACAGTGAGTTTCAGGACAGTTGGGGATATGTAGAAACCCTGTCTCAAAAATGAATGAATAAATAAATAAATAAATAAATAAATAGTTATAAAATTCGAAAACAGAAAGTTGGTAGAGATCGCTCCAAGGATAAAAGCACTTGCTGTTAAGCCTGAGGACTTGAGTTTGACCCACGGGACCCACACAGTAGAGATCCGACTCCTGATAGCTTGATTGGTGGGTGTGCACGGGCATGCATGCATTCCACATCACGTGTGCGTAGGTCAGAGGACAGCTCTCCTGAGTGACTGCAGTGTAGGAATAGCAAACGCGGGCACTCGGAGACTAAGAAAGACTGCAGTGTAGGAATAGCAAACGCGGGCACTCGGGGACTAAGAAAGGCTGCAGTGTAGAAATAGCAAACACGTGCACTCGGAGACTAAGAAAGAGACAGAAGTCCAAAGAGGAAGGAAAACTTGGAACTGCTCAAAAACAATAGAGACTGAGATGGATGGAATCCTAAGCACTCTCTTCCGTGGCCCGAAAGAGCCTCCAGGGATGGATTGTCTGTTTTGTTTATGGCAAATCCCCTGCTTTTAGAACAATGTCAGTCATTCTGTTGGTGCTCAATATACAACAAGAAATTTTTTGCTATAAAGCTGCAGAGCGCCTGCAGTTCCCAAAATCACCACTAGGTGGGAGTCTTCCAAACCCTGAAGCCTCCATAAGCCATTCTCAGAGCAGGCTTTGTGTGAGGTGCTGCAACCGGCCTAGGACATTCAGGATGTCTTCCCTGGGGCTCAGCTTGCCAGTCCCAGCACATGCCCCGAGCACCAAGTGACCTTTCCGCCTAAGACACCCTTTTCTCCACTTCCCTCCAGCACCAGCCAGTTAAACAACCCTTTGTCCTTGGCCCCTTCCGGCTGGGCCCTGAGGCTCCTGGTTCTTTTCCAAGTCCTGAGAGGAGGCTGGGACAAAGGTGGGGCATCTGGGAAAGGGCCAGGGAAAAGTCTTGGGGACATTGAATCAGTTCTTCCAGTCTTCCTGGATAGAACTGTGGGATCCAGCCCCCCTTCCCGCCTTGAACCCAGAGCCTACCCTCTCAGGGAACCAGGCCCCAGGCCTCCCCCCCTCCCCCTCC